TGCACTCACTATTAAAATGCACTTAGCTAAAACTCAAAGTGACAGCTATACATGCAACCCCAGACAACTGTAGACATGTACAAATGTATCTGAATGCATTTTTAGGCAAAGTTCTGTGTCACATATTTTTACCGATTTATGCCGTCTTACCTCGACTGTTTTTGGCCGGGGACACAACGTCGCCGTCGGACCAATGTTTGCTGGGACTTTATGCGAGAAGCACTGGTTATTTATACAGCTGAAATAGTATTAGCTTCCCAGCTAGTCACCACATCAAAAAGTTTATTTTGTATAACGTCGGTGTTCTGACGAGTTGACCTACTTTGTCGAGTTAGGCTACCGTACGTAGTGCTAATCGATAGCCCTAGCCCTAACCCTAACCCTTAAAAACCCGTAAATCTTGAAAAGCTTTAATGGTATAAAGTAGTAAATTGTCAAGATTTTATACCGCATTCCCTCCCCTTGTTTGAGTTTTCTGAATAACTGACCCATGATTAAAACTACAAACATCACACATAAATTTTTATTATATACCTTAATTACCAGGGGCGTCAGAAGCATTTTGTATGTGGGGGGGACACACTGGCATAAAACTAATATTTCATATTAAATGTGGGAGGGGTCCAAACGAATAATTATGAAATGTGAGGGGGCACGTCCCCCTCAGATTAAATGGCGGCGACGCCCGTGGACGTTACACATTTACACCAGATAATTTACCATCAAAACGTCAGACCGTAACAAGTGACTAAGGGAAATTGCTTTGGAGGCTAACGAGTGGCTTAATTATACCGATTTTATGTGTCTTTCGGGCACTTTCGGAGATTTTATAATCTTTGACAGCATCCGGAAAAGCATTAAACAATTAAGCAATTTGCTGTGTTTGCTTAAGAACTGAAACATTATTTGCTTGCGAATTACCAATACATTATCATTGAATGTATTCCAAATAATTTATGTGATATTTTATCAAATGATTGTAATATACTTATTACATTTAAGCAGAATTTGGATAACTCCCACCTATTAAACCAAACAAGTCCATTATTCCATTTTTCGCCAGCAGATGTCACTGATCGAGGATCTTGATGCTGCAAGCGTTCCGGCTGCAGAGAATCACGTTCACGTCAATCGCGTGTCTGCGCCGACACGTCTGCGTGTATGCATGCGGAGAAGTATGAACGGGCCTTTAGTATATACGGGCATGTGCAAATGAATACGTGCATGTGAAGGTATACGTGTGTGTACCCTGCGAGGGACGACCACCCCATCTGTGCTGTTACCCTAGCCTTTAAAATGCGGTCCTAAATGAAAAAGCAGAACTCCGCTAACCATTTAGTTTTACTACCAGAACAGGGTTTTACGGCTTAGCGTGTCTTCGACGAGCTTTGCAGAATACAGTGCATTGAAACAATTAAACGTTATATAGTAAAGACTGAATTACTTAGTAGAAAATTTAAGTAGTGTTTTTTCCAGCTTTTTCAAAAGGTAGTCAAAGCAAATGTAGTCATAAGTAGGCAAAGGGATACATTCCGTAAATCATATGCATCGGAGAGAGTGTCCCGTCCGCAGCAGAAGGAACGACCCGGAATGCAGGTGGGGATACCCCCTCACGGGGCGCTTTATTGGGTCTGCAGGCCAGACAGCGGACAGGTAACAATGACAGGCGGATCAGACAGGCGGAGCAGGCTGGACCTGATATATAGTAGCAGTTTTATATATCTTATATATGACAAACTGGTACACGAGCAGCACTCGTTGGGACTGAGAGAGACGACGACAGAGGTTTGAGGTCTGGGAGCAGCGACGCAGCCAGGTGGGGGTGCTGATATAAACACTGCCATTACCACCACTCTGGGATTCAGCAAGCTGCAGCAGGGTCAGCTAGCGCCAGAGGCTGGACCTCCAGCGATGCTGGAGAAATAAGGTACATCTCCCTACTAGTCTGTTCTTATAAAAGCCACCGCCAGCTCCACGGGCGGTGGCTTCGTGCAGAGTTCCAGGTCGTTCAGTACTTTCCCAGCACTTGAGAAGTCTGTCATGGGGTTTTGTGCGGTTGCCTCAGTGCTGCTGCTGGTGGCGTCGTGCTGAAGGAACTGGGCCTGCGATCAAAGCTTTCTGCCGAACCCAATTTTGAGATTCGCATTTTCACGCTTCAGAAAGGCGCTCAGCTGGTGAAAAGTGTCTCCCTGTGGGGGCTGCAGTCACATGCGTGTAGATGGCATCACCACGGCTCACCACACGCCAGCATGCACGGGACTCAGAACACCGACGCAGTACTGTCAGTACGTACAAACACACCATAGGCTGGTGGTTTCTCACAGAGGCTTATTTCTGGCTCTGCATTCTTGCTGAACCCACAGATGCATATTATCACGTGAGTGTGGCAGTGATGAAGTACTGTGTGGTACTGTGGTACATTGTGGTACTGTGTGATATTGTGTACTGTTGTGGTACTGTGGTATGTGCTGGTACAGTGTGGTACTGAGTACTGGGGTACTTTGTGGTACATTTTGGTACTGTGGTATATTGTGATACAGTGTGGTGCTGAGTACTGGTACACTCTGATACTGAGTACTATGGTATGTGTGGCACTGAGTACTGTAGTACAGTGGGGGCATTATGAGCAAGGATTCCAGCTGTGGGGATTGTTGCCAGCACCCAATCTCACCAGGACCACACTCACTCTGCTACACCTGCCTGGTACCTCATCCCCCACAATTCAACAGCAGACAGGTCAACACAGGATGACACACAACACAGGACTGGCGCTCCTGGCAACAGACAGACAGAAAAAAAACACTTGTCACAGTGCTGATTCATCGTAGCCTTTATCATCAGGAGAATCTCAGCCTAAACCACGTCAGTGATCCAGATTCACCAGCAATAAATCACTTATACAAACACAAGCAGTATCAAATGAAACTGTTACATCATAGAAAAGAGCACGATGCTCAGACATCTCAGTCCCATGGGATGTAGAATATCACATGACGGAGTGCTGCCATCTTGCCCTTTTTCCCGCTGATGGGACGACCTTTGGGACCGTTATGCCCATACGGCTCCAAGTGAACCCTACTCAGCTAGAGTCCAACACCCAGATTGCGGGCAGGGGCACGCAGAGTGAGCAGCCTGGTTTAATGACGCTCGCTCCGGCGAGACTCATATCTCCACCTCCCCAGTCCTTCACAAAGGTGAGAAAAACACAGCAAAATGCACATGGACCTCCTCTGCTGAACTTTTCTGTCTAACTCCTCTGAGCACCATGGCGGTCAACAGCATCTGCGATTTTCTGTCTTTGTCTTCCGACCTCTCCTGTTCCGCCAGGCTCCACGCTGGCTCCTGTACTCACACACCCTTGCAGACTGGAGCCCCTCTGGATGTCCAAATGTCCATTGGCTGACTCTGCTGATCGTGACAAACAGGATGTCTCCTTTCCCACTGCACCAGGCCTTCCCTAGACACCCAACATTAGCTAAAAACTACAACTCAGGCCCTCGGAACACAGAGCGTCTTCTTGGGGTGCAAACAATTCCTCTCTATAGCCACAAGGACAATGGAACATGTAAACGGCCACAAATGAACCCCTCTTTGTGAAAGCCTCTGTTTTTGTAAGCGTCTTACAATCTCTTCTCCACTAGGGGGAGCGTAAACCTGGCCGCACGTATTTTTGCTCCACATTCACTCTTGCTGACTTTCACACGGAAATGGACGAGCCCTCCGCAGAGTTTAAGCGGCCAGTCTCACGTCTCCTTTTTTTGGGTGAAGGGTAACGCTGCCTGGGGAGGTCAGGAGTGCTGGGGGGGGCAGGGTTCCAGAGCTGACCATCACAAGATGACACAGTGCAGCCTGTGAGAGGTGGTGGCCCTGTCCCCCCTCCACTTGACTTTCTTCTTCTTCTGGCTCTTCTCTGGGATCTGCTGCCTATGGGGGGGGGGAAAGAAGGGTGAGATGAAGAAGGAGACACCACAAGAGCCCCTCATTATGGTCGCTGCTACAGAACCCCCCACTGAGATCACAGATCAGGCATTTCAGATTTACGGCTTCTTTACGGAACGCAGACAGCAAGCTTTTGGGAAATAAGAAGGCCTATTGAAATTGTCCCTCTAATATAAAGTTCATTTTTGTCAAGATTAACGAGGAGAGGGTGTGAAGTTAAAGAGCCGCCTCTGTGCTCGGTCTAGAAGATGTCTGGACCCCAGGAAAATGGCCAGATCCCAGGAAGGTACACATCACGGTTACTGGGATCTATTGTTGTGGGATCTGTTACTGTGCAGGTAGAACATTCTTTCAATTTGTTGACTGAAATGAACAACATTCTGCCACAACTCTGCTGGTAAGTAAAAGAAAGCAGAATAAAATAATCCTATTTATACCCCAATGAAAAGCTCTTTGTAAGGGGTTTGGCTCTGAAGCAAGTTCCTTTACGTATCAGTTCCCGAATCCTGATCCTGCCTTTAAGCCCGGTTCTGGGAAAAACACAGTGGCTTGCTGTCTAGGAGGTCCTAGACCCGGCGTCCCACTCCTGTCACACTGAGCCCCTGGGAAACTGAGGCGTTTATGTGGCTGGCTCGCAGCAGCCAATCCAGTGACAGGAACTGGGTGGTCAATCACACGGCTGACATACCTGATGACTCTGACCAGCTCATGAAAGGCCTTATCCACATTCATCGGGGGCTCTTTGGCACTCGTCTCGATGTACGTAATCTGAGAAAAAAATGACGTGGCAGCTGTGAGTTCAGTTACTGTCAGGGTCTGTACCATCCGACCTTTGCCCTTCGTGTCTCCTCCCCGTTTGTCCAGCAGGTGGTGCTGGCCATCCTGTCCTTCTCCCTGTCGCTTGCCCCTTAAGCCCTTAGTGTGGTTCCCTTGCCCTCAGAGTGCCGCATAGCTCAGTGCAGCTTAGAATCTGAGTACTTGCTGGTCTTGGGTTTGAGGCTGGCCTCTGGCTAGTCTCATCCATTTATTAGTATTTATTTGGGTTTCCGTTTCCTCCATGTTTATGTTCTGTTTTGCGTTCCTTGGTCTTAGGTTTTCCCTGTGTATATTTTTGCTCCAAGTTAAGTTTCCTAGTGTATGAGTTCCTAGTGCATCATTAGTGTTGCTAGTTTCAGTGTTTTCTCTGTCTCTTAGTTCTGTGTTTTAGTGTTACTGCTTACACCTGTTTCTCATTGTTGTTATGCCTCAGTTGATTGCTTAATTGATTATGTCTTACATACACCTGCTCCTTGTTTGCTCCAGTTGTCTATGTGTATCTTAGTGGCTGCCCTTCTCTGTTCTCCAGTCAGTCTTTAGGTTTGTTACTGTGTGTTGTTCCTTGCCCATTTCTTGCTCCTTGTGTTGCCTTGTTCCCTGACCTTGTTTGCTTCTGGTTTCTTATAGTTAGTCCCGTTTCCTTTGTTGTTTTATCACTAGTTCCTTAGGTTGCTGTGTTGTTTGGACCCAACGCTGTCCTTTTATTTTGTGCCTTACCCGGTTGTGTTCAGTTTTCCTAAGAAACCCTTCTTCTCTCGGAGCTGCCAGTGGAATGTAACCCTCATTTCCACCCGCACCACGCCCCGCCGCCATAAGTTACCCAGACAATCGAAAGGCTACTCGCATTCAGACGTCAAGAAGATTCAAACAACAGAACACCATGGTAAACTGAAAACTGCACAGAGTTCCCATCATTAAACGGACTGTAAAACTACGAGGTGCATTGAGATTTAAGACTTAAATTATGCCTTTTGCGAGTGTGGCAGTGCGGAGGATTTGGCCCCAGTGAGATACAGGCACTATCAGTGTGGGACGGTTAGTGGGTGACAACAGCAAACCATGATGTGATCAGGAGCCCCACAGAGACCCACATCTGACCTCGACGGCCAAAAGCACCGAGACCATGTGTGAAATCTGAACGCTGCGTATAGAGGACCAGGCTGCCCCGTCCAGTAAAGATATCTTTGATTAAGGCTGCTTTGTGCATGAATACCTGCTACATATCTTACTGTCTCATTAAAGCAGCCCCTCTCAGAAGGCATATAAAGAGATTACACGCTCAGGGACTGAACATCACAGCTCTGCAGCACTTGGGCACTTCACCTCTAAGAATAGCGGCTGAGCTGTGAAGCCGCTCTTGCTTTTAATGACAGTTTCAGCTCAGCCGAGTTTCTCGAGTTTCACGTCTCACGCACACAGTCACCCGTGATATTGAATATAATGAAATGCTTTTCTGTCTGCTGCTTGAAAAGTAACAAGATTATAATAACAATTAAATAAAATTAGAACAAAATAAAAGTTTCTTTGGAGAATCATTGATAACTGACCCCATGCCAAGGAACTAAGAACTCTGTTCAAAATGTCAGGTGACCCCCCTTGTCCAATAGACCTGGAGTACCGGCCAAACACAAAGTTCTCACATGAAGAGAAAATATCCTCAATATCTGTATTCTGCAATGAACCAATGCCTGCTAATCATGCTGAAGGACTTTTTTTTAGTTATTTATGAACAATAAAGATTTTAATCTGCATTGTGTACGGCTTGCTACTGATACTGGTCCATCAGGATGGTGATGGCCCAGATCTGACATGTTGGTAACAAACATTACATTTCCACAGTTCTGGGCATTGACACTGCTTGGTACACCAGTGGATGGGCTATGTGGGAACCATCTATCGAGGCCCCGCCCCTTCCTGTCCATGGCCCCACCCACAGCCCCCCTCAGACACTCACGCTGTGCTTAGCCGCCATCTCCCTGCCCTGTTCCGTAGTCACCTTCCGCAAATGCACCAGGTCCACTTTGTTCGCCACCAAAATCATTGGAAAGGACTCCCTGCGAAATGAAAAACGCAAGGTGATGAATGGAGGCTGAGGGAACGTGGGTTCCAGAATGATAAAGGCTTAAATCAGATCAGGAGAAGCAGGCAGAAGGAGCAGCATGACATCTGATGGGGGGGATGCCCTTCAGAGACCTACAGCTTCAGCACAGCTTCCTCACATATCACAGGCCCCTCCATGAGAACAGGCCCCTCCCTGAGCACAGGCCCCTTCCATATCACAGGCCCCTCCCAGAGCACAGGCCCCTCCCTGAGCACAGGCCCCTCCTATATCACAGGCCCCTCCCTGAGCACAGGCTCCTGCCAGAGTAAGGCCCCTCCCAGAGCACAGGCCCCTTCCATATCACAGGCCCCTCCCTGAGCACAGGCCCCTCCCAGAGCACAGGCCCCTCCCAGAGCACAGGCCCCTCCTATATCACAGGCCCCTTCCATATCAAAGGCTCCTGCCAGACCTCACCTGTCCTTCACACGCAGGATCAGCTGGTGGAATCGGTCCACGTGCTCAAAGCTGGCCTTGTCTGTCACGGAGAAGACGATGAGGAAGCCGTCACCAGTCCGCATGTACTGCTCTCGCATGGCACTGAACTCCTCCTGGCCAGCCGTGTCCAGCACTGCGGGGGAGACGGAGTCACCGAGATGGAAAAGGGTGCGAAGATGCATACGTCACCTTTACCGTGAAAGAGAGCAACCCCGCCTACTCCACCCTGAGAGCAAGGTATGCATTCATAAACCCCCCCCAAGGAAAGATCGAAAAACACAAACATGGTGGGATGCTAAGTGGGCACCCTTCTAAGCTAAATGGGTGGGGGTCACTTTACCATCCAGGATGGCCCACTGGCTGTCGATCTCCGTGTGCTTCAGGTATGAGTCTTCGATGGTGGGGTCATAGTCTGGCACGAAGATCTTCTGGAAGAACTGGATGGTGAGGGCGCTCTTGCCAACCCCCCCATCCCCCACTACCACCAGCTTGTACGTGGGAAGGTTGTCACTGGGAACAGCGCTGGTTGCCATAGAAACAGCTACACCTATAATGGATGGAGGAGAGGAATGGTGTTATGCTGCTGCTGAGGCCACCATCCGTGCCAGATGCTGTTTCTGTGATTGAATGGAGATGCTTCCATCATAGTTGGCAGAGTAGGCACCAAGGTACCAATGTGCCTGCCATCCGCGCCATGAGGGGGCCCCACCCGCCTCCCATCCACGTCATGAGGGGGCCCCACCCGCCTCCCATCCGCGCCATGAGGGGGCCCCACCCGCCTCCCATCCGCGCCATGAGGGGGCCCCACCCGCCTCCCATCCTCGCCATGAGGGGGCCCCACACGCTTCCCATCCTCGCCATGAGGGGGCCCCACCCGCCTCCCATCCACGCCATGAGCAGGGCCCAGTGGGCTAAGCCTGTGTGCCTGTAATCACAAGGTTGCCAGTTTAAACCCAACCTCAGCATGTCTGTGGGTCCTTGAGCAAGACCCTTAACCCCCAGCTTCCTGGGGGCCCCAACAGGTGGCTGCCCTTCGCAGACAGCTTGCTCTACAAAGAGCAAGTTGAGGGAGGCGTAAAGACAATTTCCCCAGGGGAATCGATAAAGTATCTATTATTATTATTATTATTATTGTTGTTGTTGTTGTTGTTGTTATGAGGGGGCCCCATGGGCCTCCCGCTGTCCCCTGCTGTCAACTTTGCTCTCGTTTCTGGTTGTTAGTAGCAGTTCCCTGCTCTCCCCCTGCCTGCTCACCACTGTCTCTCTGTCAACTGACATCTTTCCGCAGACCATCTATCCTCCATTTTCCTGAAGATTTAATACGCTGCTGCCATTTTTAACACAACACGGGTACATCTGTAGACAAAGTACAATTAAACAGACCCCGATGAGCTGCATTACTGAGCAGCCTATAATTTTACTCTGCGAGAGAGAGCTGCCTGCGGACTATGCCAAAGATGCCAAGGAGACTTGCAGAAGATGCCAATTGCCAGCAGGTGGCGCCATCTGAAACTCAATGCAAGTCATCCATTATGTTGAACAGACAAACAGGATGAACTTCAGGCTAACAGAATTATGTCTACCAACGCTTACATTAATCAACACTATAAGTTGCTAAATGAAAGATTTCCTTTGATTTTCTTGATTTACAAAAGCTGTCCTGAAGTGCTTTTCCCAGCCCACGGGGCTCTCATTCATTCACCAGTGCCCCCCAGTTTCCAGACATTCTAATCAAAGCTGAATGAGTCAAATTGACCATTAAGCATTAGTTCAAACAGCCGACTCCGACATCATACACAGACGTGCTATCATCGTAAGGTCATTCCGGCTCACGTCGGCTTGGCGATAATCATCCAGCTCGAACCAGGCAGCAACAACAGAACTTGACATTCACAGTACTGGAAGGAACACCTTCCAGTCTGTAGGGGGCGCTCTCTCTAACAAACCAAATTCATAAATCCAGAAGTTACAGGATTCCTCTCAGCACAGCAAGGGTCATGGGCCACTTTAACTCATCAGCAGGACCATTGGTGGACTATGTTACTGTACCAAAGAAATAAGCTAATCTTCAGCAGAAGGCTTCACTCCTGATGGAGGCTGGAAGCATGGATTCCACCGGCGTTTCTCTGGAACTTACAGCAGACTCACACTATTCAGACCCAAGGAATTAGACATGTTTTATTCACATGTATATCTTTGGTAAAATATGCAATTTTCAAATGACCCTCAGAAAACAGTATAAAGTCTATCCTCTAATCACAATCACACTTAGCATGTTTGCCACAAGCAGAAAGCCACTTTCTGCAGCACGGTTTGCTTTGCCCACGCAAAGACAGATCTAAGGTTATGATTCCAAGGAATTCTCCTGTTAGATCACATCAGTGCACCTCCTCTGTGCGCAAATGCACTTTGAACTAAAAGTGCTTCAATTACTGCAGCGGGATGAAACAGGTTATTAAAATCAAGATCTTGTATGTATCTGGGTTTATGAGAAGCCTGACTAGCTGGACAGAAATTCTCCCACTCTGTCTGTCACAGAGACTCTCTAATAGACTTATTGGCTGGGCTGTGCTTTCAGGCATTTCTCCAAGTACAGATGCAGGGTGATGCATTTTCAAATGTGGTTAATGTTCCTGCAATGTGCTATTGAGTGATAGGCTACCAAAACCATCTACACTATCAGAATGAAAGGTACAGCTCTGGTACAGTTTTTTCCCCCAAGGTAAAAAACAACATTAATGTACCCCCAATGGTACAAAAATGTTCCTCAGAGTCTATTTATGTACCTTATATTAGACTAAAAGGTATATTGACCTAAAGCCAAGGTGCAATTGGCAAACTCTTGTGGGTACAGCTCCACTGACAAGTAACTGTACCTTCAAAGGTACAAATTGGTACTTAATTTTCTGACAGTACTAGAGTAGGTGGGACTATTTCGCATAACTGGATATAGTAACATTATATCAAATATAGCAGTAATATAAAAAGTGATTTGTAGGGTTTGACTTTCCGTATTGCTATAAACAGAAAGAATATGTATAATGATGATCTCATGCAGTTGTACTGAGTCATAAAGTATTCTTTACAAAATGACGCCGGGGTGCCCGGTCACAGCGTGGACATCCGTTATATTCATCTGGTTGTATTTGTATGTCTGTCTACATTGAATTTTACAATTTGTTTTAAATTACAAAAAATGGTTATTGTGGCTTTTTAAAAAGTTTGAATCCTGTCATACAATGTTAGTCGGTTAAAAAGTCTACACCTGTTAAAAACAAAAAAAAGTACCAATTTTTTCCTTGTAGAAAGACAATTAAACAATGCTGCAATTAATTCAAACTTGATTTGTGTTTCACGGTGAACTTTTTCAGTAATGTTTTATATTATTAGTAATAATGCATTCTCTAACTTAAATAAACTCACCTACCGATCGGCATATATGATATCATTTGATCAATTCACTGATTAGTAAAATTAGATCAAATATATGCAAACGTTGACAGTACATTTTCAAAACCGGACGATTTGCATATACCTCTTTTTTAATGGTGCCATTTTCTTCAGGATTTTAGATTAAGTATCGTTTATGTACCGTCACATGATATTTGCTATAAGCTATGAAAGGGACAACAGTCAATTATCTTTACATCTGCGATTGAGACATTTCTGTTATTAATGCATATCTAGTAACGAGCACCATTTCAATGACTTCTCATGCACAAACACACACAACTTACCGAGTAACGGTCTGATGCTGCGCGACTATCACTTTCCAGGCGCTTTGCCCTCATACCTGTGCTCATAAGACACTTTTCATTGTTATTTGGTAAATGCTTCCTATTTGCGAAATCAGGCCGGTCCGATTCGCAGTGAAATTTACACTGTAGCAATTCTTTATATTGCAACAGCTGATACTATAAATAGCATTGGAGCATAGGGGTGGGCCAGAGTATTCGGTACACATTATAATAAAATGCTTCGTAATTTGTTATCTTAGAAAGCTAACAAAAACTAACGACATAATTTAATACAATTATAAGAAATACTTTTGTTCCGAAATATTGCCGTACATTAATATAGTACAAGAAGGTAACATCTTTTGTGAAATGCTTTCCCTGCAGGCGTAAATGGACTGCGCCGCCATGCTGGAGCCCCGTCGGTCCTTTAAGGTGGAAAATGTGTCACAACGGGAATCAATGTATATGGCTGTAATTGCATGTAGATAACGGTATGCCGGAGTGATTCGGTAACAGAGTTACTATTAATTATATTAGCTAATTACATTTCTCATAGCCTTACAGTGTATGCGTGAGTAATTAATGCAACATATCTTAATTTCTCTGTTACTTAAACGGACTTATATTGCTGCATGTGCTTAATATGATTAAGATTTATGTTGGAATATTGTGTGATTTGTGCATTACTTTGCGCATTTCAGTCATGCTGTAACAGACAGCAGAAGGTGGCATGCACGTGCGAAGCTGTAAAGAGAGACCTGCACGTCTTGGTAAAGTTAAGAAAAATACAAATGCGTCAGATTGGCTGGTTAACGGCCTGTGTATTTACAAGAAGGTCGCAGGGGACACTTTAAGATGCTTCACTGGTACAAGGAGAAGCGTCAGTTGATGGATGGATGGATGGATGGTGTTTTAGGAGTACATGGGCAGAAAATACCACCTGAATCAAGCAGTACTTTCACAATGAAATGGTGCTGAAGTGCACAAGTTACCGATTTTTCCTCTGGTCACTGTAAAAACTGCAAACTTCCTGTTCTGCACATAGTATTCAACACTGTACTGATGTTATTAATTCTGCTTCTTGACATGTAACACATCCTGGGCAGTTCCTAGCAGCTCTCAAACTGTCAAGAATAAGCTTTCCCACACTTGACTTCCCCTTTGTGCTACAGCCTCAAAAGCTCCATATAGTTTCCCCACATGGATTGTGAAGCAGATGCATTCAGACACACATTCATGTATTTCAGTAAAACCAAAGCTTTGCTTTATGTGTACATAAATTTTGTTATTTGTGGCCCTCAATGGGTAGTATTGTGGTCTCCCAATATTGTGCATGCAATAGGTTACAGATTATTAGTTACCCCATTAAAAATGTAATGAGTAATGTACTTGATTTCTTTTCTAGCTGAGAAGCCCCAACGGCTTTGCTGACCCGTGTTGTCTGGAAATATGCTGAAAGAAGGCATTTCTGCATGGCAAAAACACACAAAGCAACAAAATGAAGGTTATATTATACAAATAAGCTTTTTATTGAAAAGAATAAATTAGGATGCAACCCCTTTGTAATCACAAACATTTTGATTAGTTACTGTAATTTAAATATGTACAGTACTGTACAAAAGTCTAAAGCTATTTATCTGGGTAGTAAGTGTACGTTTGCTCAGAACAAAAATTACTATTTAACATTAGAACATATGCAAACTAAGAATAACACAATAACAACTAGTAAGAATTTCTTTTGTTACCCAAAAAGTTACTGATATCTATGTAGTTGGATGGCTACGTGAACACCGCATCAGTTCCCAAACCTCTCTTCAGAGGTATCTCAGCCATTCCATGTTTTTATTGAATTTGATCCCCAGCTCACTTATTAAGTTAAAAGTCAGTGAGATACTGATTGGCTATACGAGGTGTGCTAGTGGTTGTGCTAAAAAGATAAATGGCTGTATTGGATGGTTGCTGCAAACACTGGTGTGATTTCAAGAGAGGTTTTGATATGGTTACACTAACACACCTTTATGGGTTTTACAGCAATGTGAAGATCATTTAAACATCATTTTCTTTGACTGCCTAAGACTTTTGCACAATACTGTATTTTTCCCAGTAACTGTAAAGGTTACATTTATTTTTGTGATTTAATTATGAGAGCGGCAGCGCTTTGGATTTGGGACAGAGGAGCAGTCACTGGCAATCCAGACCTGTGAATGATGCCCATTCTGAGACACATGCAATGGCACCTCCAAGACGAGAGAGTTTGTTGGACAAAGGATGCTCTAACACATCGGCTGTTATACGAGACACTACTCCCGCACCCATCTGTGCTGCTGTACTTACACAATAATAATCATTATGACACCTCTCTGCGTTTCTCTTCTCATTTGCATTGCTGAAGTGAAGGGGCCGCGATTTGCACGGCACTGTGGTGAATCAGGAAGCCTGAGGAGGACCAACCTGGATAAGAGTGGGAGCCTCTTGGTGCTAACCGTCACTGACAGGGCAGAATCGACTTCCACAAAACCCCAAAGGAGTCTGGGCTGAGCTAATCGGCACACTCAACAATCGGATTCAACTTACAGCAACCACGCTACACTTAGACGAAATGTAACAGGGCTCACCCTCACACCATTCACACATATGAGCAACATGGTTACTCCGTTAACCTCGGCATGCTTTTGGACTGTGGGGGGAAACCGAAGTACCCACAGGAAACCCCATGATGACACGGGGAGAACCAACTCCACAGACATGGACCACTGATCCCAGAGGTTTGAGGCAACAGTGCCAACCATTGCATCTCCATACCACCCAGTCTAATGCAAATGTACTTACAGGAAGAACAGACTCTAAAATGACTATTGATTAATCGCCCATCAGTCTCGGCACCCATGATTTATTTATGCGTTCCTTCATTGGCGTTTTTCGGCTGCTGACTGGTGTTGCTGAATTTAGTTTCTGAACGTTGGCATCCCTGCTGCCCGAACGTCCCAATGAACGAACAATCAGATCATCCCTCCTTGTGGTTCTGCTTAAGCGACATCGTTGAACGTTTGATCAGACTGCTTCAGTGACACCTTGGAACATGTTGTCCTTTTATTAAAGAGCTCAGACCAAACAATGCCGATGTAATGATATGCATGTGGTGCTCGGGGAGGATGGGGGGGGGGGGGCGCTTGGCTCACACCAAGTGCCGCTTCTCAATGAGGAGTGAAGAGGTTGCCTAGCAACAAGTGGGCTTCTCTTGGAATGCTCTCCATCACTCCAGGCTTGGAGGGCAGCAGTCTTGCAAAGACTCTTGAGGAGATTCCCCCCCCCCCCCCTCCAACACCAAGCACCTTTAGTAGCAAAGCCCCCATTATCCTCACTCATGGGTGACTCTAAAAGGGCCAGACACACACCCATCTCAGAATTTTTAGATTTTAAATTTAGATACTTTAAGATATATTTGTAGCATTAAGAAACACCTACAAGCAAGTTGTCTGCCAGTCTTGGAAAATATCCATCCATCCATCCATCCATCTTCTACCATTTTTCTGGGTCAGGTCACAGGGGCAGCAGTCTCAGCAGGGAAACCCAGACTTCCATCTCCCCGGCCACTTCGTCCAGCTCCTCTGGGGGAATCCCGAGAGACATAGTCTCTCCAGTGTGTCCTGGGTCTCCTCCCAGTGGGACATGCCTGAAACACCTCATCAGGGAGGCGTCCTGACCAGATGCCCGAGCCACCTCATCTGGCTCCTCTCGATGCGGAGGAGCAGCAGCTCTACTCTGAGTCCCTCCCGAATGACAGAGCTTTTCACCATCTTGGAAGATATATTTCGCTAAAATATAGGAAAATATAGTTCACAAGCCTCCCAATGCCCCCTTCTAAAACTTCTTTGGTGGCGACTGCACACTCATTGTGTTGATAATATTGTTATGTGCCACAACACACTGTGTAAAGTGCCTTGGGGTAACTCCATTGTAATAGGCCTGTATAAAAATAAAATTAGTTCATTGGCCTGAACCTTTCTAGATCTGATTGCTGCCCTTTACTGGGATCACAGGTTGTCTTGTAATCGTTTCTTCTATGTCATTCTGAGGGACAGACAGGTGAGTTACAGGTCTTCAAGCAGTTTGTGTCCTAGGGAGAACGCAAGGCTGAGGAATGATAGATTATAGTTAAGGTGGATATTGCTTGGCCTGGTCTTGTGGTTTCATTTAAGGTTACTAGTTACCCTGAAGCATACATTTCATCATGCATCTGAGATTGTTTAGCACAATGTGCCAGGTATCTCAGCAGCGGCAGGAGAGTCACTAATGTGGAAACCAGCTTTAATGATCATTCCTGCAGAAATGTTCTCCTGAACTAGGGATTCAAAAGAATTTGCATGGTCTGGATCCCTTTCTGGTTCACCATGACATCATACATTTCAAATGGACCTTTGTGCATATGTCTTCCGATATATATATATATATATATATATATATATATATATATATATATATATATATATACACATATATATATATCTTCCAAGTCTGTGTTCCACAACCAGCATCAAAGTATATGATGTGCGTAATGAGATGGACAGTGTCACTGAGATTGAGAACATTACTGAGATGGAGAGCATCACTGAGATGGAGAGCATCACTGAAAAGGAGAATGTCACTGAGATGAAGAGTGTTACTGAGATAGAGAACATTGCTGAGATGGAGAGTGTTCTTGAGATGGAGATCGTTAGTGAAATGGACAGTGTTACTGAGGCAGAGAGCATCATTAAAATGGGAAGTGTTACTAAAATAGAGATAGTTACTGAGTTGGAGAGCATCACTGAGAAGGAGAGTGTCACTGAGATGGAGAGTGTTCTTGAGGTGGACAAAGTTACTGAGATGGAGAGCGTTACTGAGATGGTGGTGCGTTACTGAGATGGTGGTGCGTTACTGAGATGGAGAGCGTTACTGAGATGGTGGTGCGTTACTGAGATGGTGGTGCGTTACTGAGATGGAGAGCGTTACTGAGATGGAGAGCGT